TCCTGGGGTAACGTGCTTAGAGCGTGCCTTTTGCAAGGCTGAGCTGAACTCGCTGGTCAGGAGTAGGGTCCTTCACACGTGCGTGGGCAACAATTGCTGGTTTAGATGGATCTTCCCTAATCCCGTTACAGCGCAGCCTGGCTCTCCTGTGTGGCTCCCTCATGCTTGTTACCAGCAGGCACTTGATCCCATGGCAAACTCTAGCCAGACTATGCTGGTGCGACTTGGGCAGTGACGGGGGACACGCGTGGTGAGTGCAAGCTGCTCTCTGAGCCATTCGCGGGTGTCTGCCTGCCCGGGGTGATCAGAGATGGAGGTTCTGTGGGCAGGATCTGGGCTGGTGCCGGGCTGGCTTGTCGTCCGGCTTTTTCTTGTGCGTGTGGGGCCAAACGCGAGATCAGCTGGGCTGCGTTTGGCAGCGTCCGTGTCTAAGTCTTTTCCCACTTCCCAGTGGACGTAGCCCGAGGTACCTGGGTGTGTTGTTTGACTGCCAGGCCATCTTCTGAAACGATGCCTTTATTTTCCCCCTTTCTGCGTTTAGCTCTGTCACTTCATAAGTCTCTTCCCAGGAAGAGCAGCTGGGGAAGGTTATGAGAGGTCTCCCGGTGAGGAAATGGGCTCTTCCTCCTTCTCTTGTATTTAAGAAACTGCTTCCTCACTGTCCGGCCTGAGATGTCTCTGTCTAATTCCCCTTGTGGAGCTGTCGCTGATGGGTGAAAATCCCTGAGCTGCGCTTGGAGGAAGGCCCTGCAGCCACAGGCTAGGGCCCGGAGAAGCATCACCGCAAGAAGATGAGGGGCAGACCCTGCCCTTAACAGAGGAGCGGTGTCAGTATAACCTGCCAAGCGCAGCCTCTGGAGAATTACTGTCTTGCTGAAGACGGGAACACCTGGGAGCCAATAGCTGAATTTGGAGGGGTGGGTTTCCTTTGCCCAGCTGGGAGCTGAGCAGAGATCCCTGGCCTCTGGCAGAGTGTCTTGGGCTGAGCTGGTGGGAGCTGTGGGGTTGCAGTGTGGGAAGGGGTTAACCCGAGAGGCTGGGGCACCAGGTGAGAGGGTGTCCCCTACCATACGGCAGGGCATCTGTGGTGCATTTTTACTTATTGTTTCCTGGAAGGAGAGATATAACCTTCACTCTCTGCCCGCGGTCCAGGGGCAGCTGCCAGAGACAGGTCAGGGCTGTCCATCTCCTGCCCTCCCGTTGCTTCCCCTCTACGCTCATCTCTCCTTCTTGTCCCAGGGGTGTTGTCCCCACCGTGGCAGTGACGATGACCTGGCAGCGGTCCCAAATATAAACGTCAGTGCTGTTGTTCTTCATGGAGAGCCCTAGGCTGTGCTCTCCCCCACCTCGCTCTGAGCTGAGGTAGGAACTCGTGGCCCAGTGCCCTGGCCATGTGCTCTCCTTCGGGACAGGAGCAAGGGGCCATCTCCCGTGCAGGATGGTTCCTCGTGCAAACGTAGCCACCCGCTGTCCAGCCAGGCAGCCGTCCTCGAGGTGAGAGTGGGATTTCTTACCTCGCTTCTTGTGCACTCTGGCTCATCCAGCTGCAGGGCGTTGAGGCGGCCATCGATACGAGATACTGATCGTCTGATGCGATCCTGACGTGAGGTTGCAAGGCTGGGTGTGGGTACTAAGCCTCTGCCTTCTGGGTGTAACCTCCTGGCTGCCCTTGCCTGGCCTCCAGAGCATGAGCCTGCTGAAGTCAAGCCCAGAAGCACAAAGGTATTTGGGGGCTGATTTCAGCCAGGTTTGCTTTGTTCTCCTGTAGTAGAAAACAGCAGTTGCAATAGCCTCGTTGTTCTGGCAGAATCACCGTGTCTTCACCGTGATTTCTGTTCCTACATGTATGCTCCTGCCCTGCTGATTTCAGGCCCCGTAACCCTTTCCCCGCTGGTGCTGGAAAGTGCAGAGGCTCAGTATGTTTTAACCCATGGGGATGAGTTTGGGCCCATTCTTCGCAGCGCGGTTTGAGTGGTTGCGGGAATGCTGGTGAGAGCCACGAATGGATGTGAGCCCTGTGAGCTGCTCTGTGCTGCCCAGATGTCACGGTCTGTGCCAGAAGGCCACGATACCACTGCAGGCAGCTCTCAGCCTGCGGGGCTGGAGCTGGTGTGCAAGATGGCTAATCTCAGTGAGTGGGGCAGACCCCCAGGAACTCATGACATCTCAAGACCCCTCCAGGGCACCTGTTTGGAGCTGCACGGGAGAGGTCTAGTGCATCGGGCGCTCATCATCCTGTGCTCGCCTGCACTATGACGCTTGCTCAGTCCTGCAGTTTGAGCTGGGATCCTTCCCTGGGTGCCCGGGGCTCAGAGGAACGGCAGTCTGTTCCCCGGCCTTAGCAGCCGTTGGGTGGTCTGGGAGGCTCACCACGCTCCTAAACCTGCTAACTGTCAATTTGATGGCAGTGAAGGCAGGGTGTCCGTGAGAAACTCTGTCCTGCCACAGTGGCATGAGCTGCAGCGTCCTCAGCAGTGGACGCGAGGCCTCGCTTTCTGAACCAAGCGTCTGTCATGCAGCGGGTGGGACAGGTCTGGTCTCCCTGTCCCGGAGCCAGCACCCAGAGCTTCGCTGAGCCGAAAGTCCTCCCTTCTCCCTCCTGACCTTGAGCTGGGCTGCCAGGCGCACCAGCCCCACTCCTTTCCTGCAGACAGTGTTTGGGGCTATGGGTGCCTTTTGCTCATCCCAGCTGGCTTGAGTAGTGCTGATCCTGTTAGAGGCTGCTCAAAGATAATCTGGTGGCCTCATGCCTGCTCAGCACCGCTGCCTGGTCCTGCTGCCGCAGGGACTCGAGCCATCCCCGCGCTCCGGCCCCAACACAGAGGAGGGGATGAGGTCTTGGCCCGTGGGGCCTGGGAGCTGTGGCGTCCCGGGGAGCGGTGTCAGCGCCTCGTACTGCTTGGCGAGCGTTACAAAGCAAGCTGGGGGCAAACAGCCATGCCCACCGCCTCCAGATGAAGCTGAAGCCCATCTTATCTCACCTTGTGCTGGGAGGCTCTCCCTTGTGTTTAGTCTTGGGTATTTCGCAGCTTCCCCAGCCCCGGCGGTACGTCCTGCCTTCACGGCGTGGTCGAACCCTGTTATGGGGTAGCAGTGCCAGGGAACGAAGGCAGGCACATCCCTGCGTGTGTGCGGTGTGTACCTGGGCAGGGAAGGGGCTCTGGAGGAGGCTGGGGTCCCTCTGGCGTTCGGATCCGTCCTGCTGGCTGGGGGCACAGGGAGAGCAGGATGGCAGGTGGATGGATGCGCAGGTTTCCCTGCCCTGACCTTCCAGCCTGACTTTAATAGCTGCGTTCTCGTGGAGTCTTAATTATGGCAAGCGCGTGATAATGGCTTATGTACTCCGGGTAGGTGCTCGCGCCCTTAGAAGTCTGTTTCTTGGTTTTTAATAGACTGGCTTCTCAACTCGCGCTAGGAAACAAAAGAAAAGCGAGATAATCATCAGGATGGTGTGGTCTGTGGGTTGTGTTGTTTTGTTTTAATGGCCAGCTATCTTGTGAACAGTCGGGGCTCAGACTTTGCTCACCCAGCTTATTGCTTGCAGTTGCCGGCTGCTGCCCGGCGTGGCTTGCGAGGGGTCGCATCCCGCTGCAGTTGTCACGGTTCCTTCTCAAAGCAGCGGCTCCCCGGTGGCACCGCAGGACTGTCCTCCCCAGCGCTGAGGCCCGGGCAGGCACCGCGCTCCGTCCCCGTGCCGCCCCCGTGGAGCGCGGGGTCCCCCTCGCCAGCGAGGGCCGGTGGGGAG